CTTTCCGGGAAGTGGTTAACTTTTTGAAAAGCTGTTAACTTTTATTGGAAAATGACATTTTTTAACTTATCCGATCTATAGGGATGTGTCTTCGTTGTTTTCCAGGGAGCACGGTGAGAAAGGCATACACCACACCACCCCGACGTCGTCCTCGAGCCTCAGAAAGTCCTGGGATTGAACAACAGCCCGCAAACACGGTGAAATAAATATACACCATACCACCCCGACGTCGCCCCCGACCCTCAGAGAGTCCTGGGAATGAAAGACAATCCAACCGCGCGGTGAGTGCGGGATTTCGAGATCACCGCACGGTCCGTCGCTGCGTCGTTTCGGGGCTCCCAAGCCGGGGGCGGGGCTCGTCTCGATTCTTTCGATTCGATGCGATGCGATGTCGATGGCTGCCGATGCCGAATCGTTTCGGCTTCGGATTCCGATGTGGGCTCCGAGTTCTCACCTGGAGTCTGGAGGCCTACCAGCCTGCCGATTTTCGCCGATTCGGAGTTTCCCGGCTCGGTTGCCGATGTCCGCCGATCCGATGAATCTCGATCGTCGATCGGGCTTGTCGATTCGATTCTGGGATCTCTTGGGGTTGGGTGGGCATGGCTGCCTATACGTCGGCGGCGAGCGAGGGGGGGAAACGAGAAGGAAAAGGCCTCCGCAGGAGGCGGCGGGGTTTCCTCAGAAGCCCGGGCTTCGAAAACTTTTCAAAAGGAGCCTGCGGAGTTTGTTGGCAGGGCCGCCTCTATGGGCCACACGCGCGGGGGGGGGTCCTCTCCCTCTCTAGGCCTCCTAGATGGGGTCCGAGATAGTGGGGTCGGAGGATCGCGCCGCATCGCCGATGCATCGGCGATGCGGCTCGATGTGCAGCCCGTTTTGCTTCGCGCCGATGCATCGCCGATGTGTCGGCGATGCGGCGCGATCCTCTAACCCCATCTATTCGGACTCCATTTAGGAGGCCTCTAAACACTGCGAGGGGGGGGGGGGGCAGGGCCGCCTCTATGGGCCACGCGCAGGGGGGGTCCTCTCCCCCATCGCTCTTCCAGACGATCCGATCGGTTTCCGAGCCGTTTCGACCTCGCGGTTCGATCCCGCTCAGGCGTGATAGGCCCAGGGTGCGCAGCATCAACCCACAGGCCGATGGCCACTGCTCACCAAACCGCCCCAACCCAACCCGAAGGCCCCATACACCCCAGGCGATGCTTAAGAAAACTTAAGTTTTCGGCCAGAATCTCGATTATTCTTAATGTTTCAATGCAAATCCTATGATTATAATCGAAGTTCGGGGTTTTATTCAAGTTCTGAGACTATGAATTTCTTAACCCATGATTTCTTGAGCATCTCGCAGGGTGTACCCTCCCAACTTTCGGGTGGAGGGGCGCACGGGTTCCACGAGCCCCTCCCCCACTGGAGACTGGCATGCCCGACGGCGACTTCGGGTTTGGCTGGCGTGGCTTGGTGGGCGGAGGAGGAGGAGGAGGAGGAGGAGGAGGAGGAGGAGGAGGAGGAGGAGGAGGAGGAGGAGGAGGAGGAGGAGGAGGAGGAGGAGGAGGAGAGGAGGAGGAGGGAGGAGGGAGGAGGGAGGAAGGAGGAGGAGGGAGGAGGAGGAGGGGGAGGGAGGAGGAGGGAGGAGGAGGGAGGAGGAGGGAGGAGGAGGGAGGAGGAGGGGGGGCCTGCGCGCCCGCACCTCCCAGGGAGCGTGCGGAGCGCGCCCTATCGGGGGCCCGCTCCCGGCGGCGTCGCGCCGACCCGGTGGCGGCGTCCCCCTCTTTGGATCGGGCCAAACGAACGTCAGGAGGGAAAACACACACAGACACAATTAATTGTCGATTCCCCAGAAAATGTGTGAAAATATGGGAGGTGGGGGGGAAGACAGAAACCCAGAAAATATGGGAAGATATGCGGAATATGTTTATTTGTGCCTATTTATTTGTGTGTCCCAGGGCCCGGGGGGGAATAGGGAAAGGGGGGGGTACGAACTCTGTTGCGTGCAGCTGGAGTTGGTCCCGCCGCGGCTTGGGCTGACGTGGCTTGGTGGGCAGTCCGATGGAGGGGGGGCCTGCGCGCCCGCACCTCCCAGGAGCGTGCGGGACGCGCCCTCCGGGGCCGGCTCCCGGCGGCGTCGCGCCGACTCGGGGGCGGCGTCCCCCCCCCCCCTAGGTGAAGGGGCCCCAGGACACACAAATGGATACACACTAATAAAAAGAGTACCCATATCTTCCCGTATTTTTTGGGGGGTTCTGTCTTCCCACCCACTGCCCATATTTTCTTACCCAGGGTCACTTCTGCGTGTAGCCGAAAGTAGTCCCGGACAGTCCCCTCACGTTCCTGGTGGGACTCGGTCTGGGTGCTCGCGGCCGAAGGCCGTCGTTGCAACGGCCCCCACCATGGGAGCTGTCCTCCACAGGAGAGCCCATGCCCGCCGTCAGCGCCGCCACCGTAGCCGTCCCGCGACCCACAACATCGTGATCTGTTCCTACGTTCACCCCCAGAGGTCTCGACCCCTCTCGCATGCAGGACCAGCTTTGCACCAGCTCCTAGACAGTGTCCAGACGGTCCCAAGGCCCAGATTGGCGCCCAGAGACCCAAGTTGTCCACTGCTGGCATCCAAGAAATGGGCGGGTGGGGACTAGCTATGGGGTGTGCATGTGTGTGTGTGTGTTCGTGTTCATGTGTGCGCATGTGGACATCATTGGTATGGACATGAAATATCTCAGACATCACGGCCGCTGTATCTTCTCTCAACAGGTGCCCCGCCTCCCTGTCGTCCCTGCACGTGCCCCGGGCCAAGATCATACGTCGTGTTGTTTTCACGCTGCGATCCTTGAGACAGAATGTCCGTTTTTGTTTCCAAGATGCCCCCCCACAGAAGTCTCGGCCCACTCCTGGGGACTCGCTTTTCGTCCTGAGTCCTCTGTTGACGGTCCCAGGGCCCGGCGCGGGCCCCTTGAGGCGGAAGGCAGGGAAAAACATCCGTCTTGATGTTTTCCAATGCGCCCTATAGCCCAATAGCCCTATAGCCCTACAACTCTATAGCCCTATAGCTCTATAGCACTATAGCTCAATAGTCCTATAGCCCTGTAGCCCCCTTAGCCCTATAGCCCTGATTGGGGCTTTTCTCGGGTATCATTCTCCAATGCGGTGAAGGCTTGGGAGCGACGCTTGAGGGAGGAGGAGCGGCACCACCACCACCAGGGGGCAGCCTCCAGCGAGGAGGTCCACGCTGCCTCCCCGAGCTGGGGGCCCGGGGGCGTGTCGAGCGAGAGGGGCGGACCGCGCCGCCGGGGGGGCCCCCGCGCTGGCTCCTCCCGCGGGGTGGTCTCCCCGGCGGTGGTGCTGCCGCTCGGCCTTGGGCCCCGGCGCGGCGGAGGCCCGGAGAGAGCGCCCGTCGGAGAGGGCCCCGTGATGGGCGTGTGTTCCACCACCGCCGCCAGGAGGGGGAGGGGGCCCTCCTCCTCCTCCTCCCTCCTCCTGCCCCCCTCCAACTTCTGGTGGTGCTGGTGGTGGAGCATGGGCCCGTCACCCCGCGTGCGCACGCAGGCGGCAAGTGTGCGCCGCTCGTGGGCCTCAAGTTCGGGGTGGTGCAGTACCAGGCCCAGCTGGTCCTGTGGACCAGGAGCCTCTTAAGAGCACCATCAGCAGCATCATCGACACCACGACCGGCATCATCGCCACCATGCGAGCTCCTGCTGACATCTTCGGCATCCAACATTTACCATCAGTTCACATCATCAGGTTGCCATCGTGGACTCGAAACACTTCTCCTCGTGCTGCCCTAGCGGAGGGAGGAGGAGGAGGAGGAGGAGGAGGAGGAGGTGTTGATTTTAACGAGGTTGACCGGAATGGTGGTATGATTGTTACTGAGCGTGCGTCGCGATGGACGCCGTTTGGCTCAAACGATTGATCGTGAACGTTCGTGTCGAGCGTATCGGTTTGAGAATATTTTGTCATCGTTTCCGCGCTTATCCTCCCAGAAGATTTACATGGTAGCGGAGCGAGGCTAACTCGCGAGCAATGGCAGGTGCTGCCGTTGCCGCTGCCGCCGCCACTGTGGGGCCAGGAGACCCAGGGCGTGAGTTAAACACGCCACACGACTGGGACAGGTGGTTCAACATTTAACCGGCCCGGTTCGCGGAGCTGTGCGAGGCTGCCATCGACAGTGGGGACTACAGTAACGTGATCGTCGCGTTGCGAGCCGACCATGAAGGCATGAAAGGCTTATTGAACGGTTACGCGTGAAGAGACCGATGGCCGACTGTTCATGGCCCAGAAGAACAATTCGTCGTTACCAAGTGTGGTGGATAGGAACATGGGCGCCGAGAACGAGTCGAACGTCAAGGAAAGGTTAAAACACAAATAATACCACGTTGACGCACATAATAGCAAACTTGACAGCGTGACCAAATTAGCAGAGACCATAGCGGAGATCAAACACAAATCGGCGCATCAGGATACTAAGTGGGCTATCGGACACAAGGCCACGCAGCAGTCAAAAACATTTGCTGGTGACCGAGGCAAGTTCAGGGAATAGAGCGAAACCTCCTCAACGCCCTTGCACAGGGCAATCCGACTAGCCGTAAGGCACTGAAGAACCTCAGCAACAAACTGGACACAATAGGCGGTGTGGTAGACGAGGATGAAACGACATGGCGAGGAGATTCAACGGTCGGTTAACGGCGGCTGAATTCATCGGTTTAACAACAAGTTGATAGCGATGAAGGTGAGCTTGTTTTGAGAGCGTGGATTTGTGATACATCTTCAACGGCACACTTGGACGGGATGAGCCGCCGCAGGCGTGCCAACACACACGCACACATACACACATATATATATATACATATATATATATATATATATATGTATGTATATATCTTCCTTCTTCAGCCAAGATGAGCTTGGTCATTCACCCAGACAAACCCGATAAACTTGGAAATCTGGCATCACAGTCAGCGCGCCCGCGCGCAAAGCAATTAGAGCACTCAGAGCAGTGAAAATGCGCACCC